TACCGTGCAAGCCGTGCTTCAGCAAGATGCGGCAAGAAGATCGCCCGGATGTGCTGCATGAAACGAGCTGTCACTCCAGGTAATGTTCGCCGTGCCCTGCGTACGTTGGCTTTCCCGATGTAGCGGCCACTGTGTGAGAAAGCAACGTATACTGCCGATCCGGGCCGAAACCAGAAGCTGTTCGCATCTCGAGCTCCCAAGGCACCCCGGGCTGCTGAACTGCCTCGAGCCCACCAGGGGGGAGGCAGCGCAAGAGGGCGGCCGCCCACTTAGCACTTAGGCATTGGAAAAAGTCCACGAGCCCGGCGTAGCATGGCCATACCGTAGGCCATGAGCGCTTGCGCCAACACTAATTAGTGAGCGAGAGCGCGCGAAAAATTCCCATGCTTCATCACTGGCGGCATGGCCGTTTCGAGGATGGTGTAGATCGCCAAGCACAAGACATGGCCCTCGGCCTGCGCTGCCCACGTGAACAGCCAAGCACCAGCCGCGTCAACTTACCAGTTTGAAGCATATCCCTATCCCTATGTTTGACACCACCTCGCCTCGATGCCGATCTTAAGGATTCCCTCAGGTTCTGAGGGCCTGTCCCTAGGATTGTCCTCGCTATTCGCTCGCCCACCTCTTAGGGATAGGGATGCCTTTGAGGCTGGCCATCAACAGACTCGATTGTAGGGGTGCTGCAGCGCGGTCTTCCGAGGTCGAGCTGGCGCGGCCACTCCGCGCGGAGGGGCATCGCCACGTTGCGCCTGACCTCCACCACGCTTGGCATCGCTCGGACGTGTGCATCTTTCCTTCGGCGAGGACCATCGAGGAGCATCCTTGATGATTTGGCGGAAAAAACCACGCACGGAGCCGAAAAAAAAGGCACAGGGAATGGACGTCCGAGCGATGGCGAGCACGCCAATGAAGGCGAATATGAAGAAAACGGAATGGAACCGAGGAAAGGCCGGTGTCGCGTGACCGGTCTTTGACTCGTCCAAGGTGGATCCGTCGTTTCTGCTCCTGTGTACCCGTTCGCGGATTCTCCACTCACAGTGCACTCGCCTCCCCCCCGCGAGAGGCAAGAAAGGCTCAGCTAGGCACCATGACTCGAAGGTACAGCGTGCGTGCGCTTCTAAGCCACCCTGAGCCTTTGGCTACGGACGGCAGCACCCTGGCAGAGACAATACTTTACGGACTCATGTTTGCGCTGTTTGTTTTGTTTGTTATGTTCCCCCCGTGATGTTCCCCCTCACGTGTCTCGAAAAAAACTGGCCGTCCAGACCATTGCGGCGTGTGCTCTACGTCCCAAACAAATCCGAGCTCGGCGTCGATCCCTATCCGAACCCTGGCTGAGGTATGACCGTGGGGTGCTGGAGGCTGGGGCCTGCCCGGGAAATTAATAAATCCTCTGGTCAAGAAGGGCATCAAGCACATCAGCCTGGGGGTGGGACGCGCCACGAGGGAAAGACACATCACCCTCCAGGAAGTGACTACATGAACGGGCTCAGAGGCAGCGAGGCCGGCGTAGGCTCCAGCACCTACTCTCTCTCTCTCTCTCTCTTCGTTCGTACAGCCTTTCATGGGAGACGTGCTGCGCCCTCTGCGCTAGTCCCTGCGCTGCTTCGACGACGCCGCGCCACGCGGGGCGCCGCGCCCCGCGCGTGGGGCGCGCGCAGGGCGGGCGGGTTTTGGGGGGGGCGTGGAAGCATCGAGCGAGACCACGAGGGCTCGTTCGAACCACGCCGAGTCGCGGCGGCGGAGGCTTCGCGCGCGAGCCGCTCCTCGCGCAAGGATGCGTCCTCCGTCCGGCCCACGGCTTCGCGCGCCCCGCCTAGCTCTTCACCGGAAGGGGCCCGCTCCCGACCCGCCGACCAAACAAAAAAACATTTGGCCCACGGCGCGTTTGCGACAACCGCGCGAGCGCGGCGGCTCCGATTCAACACTTGACGTCGGGCCGCGCCCACAACTCAAGATCGAGCGGCGCGCGCGAGGCCGTCCCAACAAGCAAGGCAACAGCGAGCCGCGCGGCCCCTCGAAGAACAGCCGCGCCGGCATCTTCGAGGAGTCTAGAATCTAGACGAGGCGCGGGCATCCTCGTGGAACCTCGCCAGGAAACGCCGTTGCATCGCATCGACCATCTTGGCAGCTCGTTTGCATCGGAACGCGCGCCCAGTTGGATGGCGCTCGAGGCGAGTCATGCCCCAACTGGAGACTGTTTGGCGCCATTGCCGGGGTCGAGCTCGCACTGCGCGCGCTGGAAACTCGCCGCCAGTTGATTGCCAATCGAGCGGCATGTCGGGGTGGCCGAGTCGCCGGTCAATCCGGGGCCAGAAACATCATTGCACAGTGCAGCCGTGTAAAGAGATGGCCTAAACAGCAAAACTGCGGAGAACTGACATGGTCAGACATTGTCGAGGTGGTCGTGCTTGGCGTGGGTGGTCAGCGTCGCGCTGGCGACCGGGCGCGGCGCGGCGCGGCGCGCGGGCGCGGCGCGGCGCGCGGGGCGACGCGGCGCGTCGTATCTCTCGCGCTCGCAGCATAGGCGCGGCGCGGCACGCGAACATGGCACGGCGCGCAGCTGCGAGCTGCTGCCCCTTAGAAGTTCAGCGCGACGCGCCGGCACGACGCGCGTTTGGGCATTCTAGAACGCAGGCGCGGGGCACGCGGACTCGGCGTGGCAAGTCTCGCGGGCGCGGCACGTCACGGCACATCTTTTGAATTTGGATCTGAGGCGCGGCGCGGCGCGGCACATTTTGCGGATTCGGCGAATTTTGTCACGTCGCGCAGGCGCGGTGTGCGGCAGTTTTTCTCGCTCCGTGGCACCTCGGCGCAGCGCGACGCGGTGCGTTCTGTGCGTCCTAGACCCTCGACGCGGCCCGTCACGCGGGCGTGGCACGGCCCCGCAAGGCACAGCGCACTGGCGGCAGATTTGTCGCATTCAGAGTTTTAAGAGTCTTGCTGCTCAAATTCTACCCATGCACCTTCTGCGAAATTCGACGGGCAGGGGAACCGTGGCACTGCGTGGCGCGCGGTCATTGTCATTATTTGCCTTCTGAACGCGCTGCGCGGCACGCGGGCCAGGCAATGCGCATTTCGCGCAGTATAGAACTTAGACGCGGCACGCGGCGCGCGGGCACGGCATGCCCCGGCGCATTTTTTGGCGCGGCGCGGTAGGACGCATTTCTCGCATCCCGTAGATTCAGGCACGGCGCGCGGACATGTCATGGCACGGCGCGGCGCATGTTCGCATTGTGGAACTTAGGCATGGCGCGGCACGGCACGGCACACTTCTCACGCTCGTAGCACGCGGACACGGCACGCCACGGCACACTGCTCGCCATTTAGCAGAATTTAGGCAAGACGCGGCACATTCTGGTGTTCGAGAGTTTAGGCGCGGCACGCGGGCACGGCACTGCGCGGCATTCCGACGGCAGATGTAATGCCATCCGTTGTTTTGACGTACGGGTGCGAAGATGCAGTTCTGATTGTTCACATCACCCTCTGTTTTAGGGGAAAGTCAGAGGCTGCGACCAGAAGTGGGACAGAACCGTGAGCAAACAACCCTCGGCCAAGAAACGAACGACACCACCCCACCTACGGCCCTCCGTGTTGCGCTACGTCCCATCGGGGGCCGTTGTGTATACCACGCAAAAGCTCATGCCAGATGTCCTGGTATACGCTACGGCCCGTGGGGCCGTAGGTGGGGTGGTGTCGTTTGTTTTGTGGTCCCAAACCGACGCAGACACGCGAAAGAAGCACGCGGTTACCTGCGAAAACAGACGGGACCGATGGAAGAACATACCTTTTGTCGTTCAACGCGCGATGGGCACAGCATCCACGAACCTTCCTTAATGTTCGACCTTCCAGCAGAAGTGCCGCCTGGTGATAAAGGGTTTGGGCCAAAGCCGGCTTTAATTCTGGGTTTAGGATTGTGTTGAGCCCAACTTTAAGATCTGCATTTCTTTCGATGTTTACAGTTCCCTTGTGCGACATCGAGCCCGAGGCGAGGTTGTGTGGGTCGGTGGGTATATATATATATATATGTATGTGAGTATATGTATATGTATGTTCATGCTGACATACAGATATGGGGAGAGAAGAGAGAGAGAGAGAGAAAGCGAAAGAGAGAGAGAGAGAATACAACGAACCACAGGAAACGAACATTTATAACTAGCAAGCAAGCAACAACGCGAGCGAGCGATCGAGCGTGCGAACGAGCGCGCGATAGAGGTACATCGAGCGAAACATGCATAGCAAACGAGAAAGAGAGAGAGAGAGAGAGCGATATTCAACAGCGAGTATTCCTAATACGCATGGGAGGGCGACGAGATGAAGCACACTTGGGACTGGGAGGCGAGACGGGTGGGGAGGAGCGGGAAGACGCGAGGGGGGATGACGACCACGACGATGATGGCGCGGAGAATGCGGATGAGGAGGGGGAGGGAGAAAATTAGAGAGGTGGAGGAGGAGAGGGGGAGAGAGTCTCGTGTGGGGGGGAAAGAGGAGCGTGACCCGGTGACCATGAGTCGTTGCAGACAAGGTTCAACATGGTCTGTGTTTCATGTTGTTTCACGCGCGTTTCAACATTCCCCTCCACGTGCTCCCTGACGGGTCGCCGTGAGGGGAAACGCGTCCTGGAGTCTTTTTGTTTGTTTCTCGGGGCCCTCAGGGCCTTCCGTTGGCCCAAGGACCCTGACACACATGGCCCACTGCCAACGACATGTTCTCGGGGAAGGCCCTTGGGTCCAGGGTCCGCTTCCCGCGGGACCCATTTGCTGCACGCATGGGGTGGGGTGCGCCGCGAGCTCGGATGCAAGCGGATTCGTTGCATGCCCCGCTGCCTCTCAGCGTGCCAGCCTGCAGCCAGGGACTGCCACGCCGCAGAGGAGCGGACGCGTGATCGCTGTTCGCCGTGATTGTTCAGCGTGTGCAGGTGGTGCCAGAGCAGGCTGGCAGGGCCAGCTGGCGGGATACTTTTGGTCGCTTGCCCAATGCCACTCGGCTGCGCCCGCGAGGAGTCTCAAGAGCTTCTGCGCCATCGGCCGGTGTTGGGGTCAGACCAGCGGCAGACCGACAGGCGTCGGGAGGGAAAAAAAAAAAACAGACACAATTGATCGTCCCATCCCAGGAAAATATGGGAAAATATTGGAAGTGGGGGGGAAGACAAAAACCCAGAAAGTATGGGAAAATATTGGGAATCTTTTTATTTGTGTGTATTAATTTGCGTGTCCTGGGGCCCCTTCAAGTTTCACCGTCGCGGTTGCATTTGTGCGTGCCGCTCGTGCTGTCGGTTGGTGGGCAGGGCAGCGTTGGCTGAGGGTTCAGTGGCTCACCTGGAGTGACCTGCGCTGCACACCCTTCGGGGGGTTTCTAAAGGTGCCCCCAGCCCAAGGTGTCCCTAGCTTTCCGCTCCATTGTGGAGCCCCTGGGGCCCCTATTGGCCTCGTGCTGGGTGCTCTGGAGGCCCTGGGGGCCTCCTTGGAAATCCTTGGGGCACCCTGGGCCAGGGGCACCTCTAGCAACACTCGAACCGTTGAACAGAAGCGTCGCTCCTGTCTGGCTGGTCTAACTGGTGTAAGTGTGGCGCGGGTGTGATAGGTGATCCGGCATGCTGAGGATATGCAGCGGACGCTTAGGACTTGCCACCCCAGTTGCGTGATACCTACTTCTGCGCAGTGCCCATCGTTTGCGCACTGCGGGGCATCTTGCTGTAATTCCCTAAACAGCTCGCTTGTAGGGGTTCTAACCGACTGCCCCGGATGGTAATTGACCCACCGCCTCTTGACCCCCTGAATGTTTTTAATCCCATGTCAATCGGATTGAATTGTGGATATGGGCACGGAGGCCGAATTTGATCATCAACGGGGGAAGTTGCGAATCGAAATTGCTATCATCTTATGTTGGCTAGCAACAGCATCAGAAACGCTGAGCATGGCAATGGCGGTCTCACCATTTCAGCTTCCGCAATCACGAGCGTGAGGCAGGGCTATGGGATTCTCACCACTTCAGTTGTCCCTAATCACGAACGTGCGGCAGGGCCATGGGATTCTCACTTTCTCAGCCGTTCCTGGGTCAGGGGCGTGTGGCAGTCTACACGAGCTCCCGAGTCTTGCGCCAAGATCTACAAGGTCAGTCTACACGAGCGCCCAGGACCATCATCAGAATCACCATCACCGTCATCCTCTGCTGGGGAACTCGTTGCTTATCCCCGCCAGACCCCCGAACTTGATTATCCCCCCGGGGATTATTATCAGGAGCAGTCGGTTAGTAGGTGCGCTGCTGGATCCAGAATCGGTCGGGTGACGGTGCCTTCCGTTGTCTCCCGTCGATTTCCGTGGTCTCCCATTGTTTGTCCCTATCCGTATTCCTATCCCTATCCCCAGTGTCTCTCGGTTTCTGCCGATTGATTCCCATGGCCTCCCGTTGTATCCCATGGTCTGTCTTCAGCCCTCTGCCACTATTCCCATCCCTATCCCTACGCCTACCCTTGTTTTCTCATCCAGCCAGGGCTGGCTGCGAAGGACCTCCGGAGAGAAACAGGAATATCAGTAGCAATATGACGGTGTCTATCTCAATATAGCTACGCTCCCCCCCCCTGAGTTTTCCGACGAAGAAAGCGAACCGGAAGGTGGACACTACGACGCAGCCCTGCAACTGAAGGGCTGGACCAGGAAGCGCGAGGAACGAAGCCGATACCTCGCACGAGTACCTCACACCAGGATGAATTGAAGTTGAAATGCCATTCTTTCCCACCAGCCACGCAGAAACATACAAAGAGAGTCGCATCATGAGGAACAGACGCGCTGTTACAGTCATGGTGCTGCCACAACCGACACGGGCTGCCCACCAGATGACGGTCGTCGCCAGCCAATACACCCACGAGTATTGGATGGGCATACGGCGAATAAACGAATTGCGTAAACAATAAGGGAATCCATGAAACAACATTTATCCTTCACCAGGCGAGTGGGTGAAACGTGAAACTATGCACGAACTTCGGGAACATCTGCACAAGGATTTGGCCAGCCTTGGCCCAAGCACACCTCTCAGCTTGCCCGTTGCGACACTGCAGCGGAGAGCGCTCCGACGGACCGCTCACACCAGACGCTGAGAGGCCAGTTGACCGAATCCAATAACACGGTTTGCACGCTAGCCCATTACAGCATGATGCGAGAAAACACGCCGAGGGGACCGCGTGTTGCTCCAGCCAAAAGCTTGCCCGCTGCCGCCTCGCGCCCCTTTCGCACGTGCTGGTCTAAGCTTTGTAGCGGATGACGGTCGGCTCACACGGCGCCTTATCATCTCGCCCAGCAGCGGCGTTTCGTTGCTTGTGTCTGCCCTTCTCGCACTTGCTGGTCCCAGCGTTGTAGCTGATGACAGTCGGCCCAAACTTCGGCTCCCACATTACGCTCAGCAGTGACGGAACACTCCAAAGCTGTTCGCCCTTCTCGCACGCGCCGATACCAGCACTGCCGAAGATGGCGTCAAAGTTCGCTGCCCAGAAACAGTCTGCCTGCTGCCACTACTCGTCCTTTTCGCACGTACCGCTCCAGACAGGGAGGATAACGACGGTCGATGCTAGCTTCGCCTCCCACGTAATGCTCATCAGCGGCAGCAACCGCTGCCACTACCAACCCCCTCGCACGTGCTGAACGTGATACCAGTCGTAATAATAAAACGTGGGAGCATGCGGAGCGGTCCAAATGCATATCTGTTCCTTCGCCAACGAATTTGCCCGCCTTCGCCACCGCGATCACCCGCGAACTAGCGCGGGAGACGAGGTGCCCCCCAAGCACCCCTGGGCGGTGACGGACGCGACGCCAGGGCGAGTTTGAGCCCAAAGGGCACCTACGCGCCTTAGGCCACGTGTGCTTGAGGAGGACATCCAGAGGGTACGGGATTTGGAGGAGGGTTGGTCGAGGTAAGGGCGGCCTCAGGGGCGACGTCAGGGGGAGATCGGCCCAGTGGCGAAGCGTCCTGGCCTGCCTATAGGCCCACCAAAGGATGGCCTAAGAACCTTTTTGTGTTCTGCGCGACATGTTATTAGAACATGTTTGGCTCGAGCTGTAGTGTTTTGACATATCGGTCTTGTGTTCGAAGAACATTGTTTTGTTTTCGGAACCTTTTTAGGTTCTAAGAAAATGTCGTGGTAAGCCTACAGGAGTAAGCCTACAGGAGTGACGGTCAGTCCCTGCTCAACATTCATCTTCGATAGGGGGCCTCGACCAGTCACCTCTGCCTATCCCCACATCCCTGTCCCAGAATCTTGGCCCCATGTTCCGATCCCTGTCCCCAGCCCCAAACAGTAGCGGCCCGACCAGAAGGACCCCCCCACAAGAAATCCAACCCTGAGACCCCAGGACGTCCATCGATGTTTGGAGTGGGAGCGTCACGGCTTCCATCGCAGAACCATCGAGACCCAAGAACTTCAGGGCACCCTGGAGGCAAAAGCAGGGAGCTTCTTGACATGGGCCCCCCACTACCCCCCCCCTGTCATGGCCTCCCGCCATGGCCTCCCGTCGTGCCCCCGCGTCGTGGCCCCCGTGATTCTGGGCCTCTCCGGCGGGGTCGGAGCAGGCGGGGCCGAAGGATCGCGCCGCATTGCCGAGGCATCGCCGCCTCGGCGCAATGTGCAGCCAACTTTGCTTCGCGTTGTGCTTCACGTCGACGTCGCCGATGCATCGCTGACGTCGACGATGCTTCGCTGGTGCAGCGCCTATGCATCGCCGATGCATCGCCGATGCGGCGCGATCCTCCGACCCAATCTAGGAGGCCTCCACCGTTGTGCCTGCGTAGAGCTGCTCAGGGTCTTCTGCCGCAGGGGTGTCCTTTGTGCTGGGGCTGTCTTCGCGGAGTGCTGCATCAGGCACCTGGGGTCGCAGCCCAAGCCAAGGCCCGCATGAGCATGTTGCAGGCTTGTGTTCAATCGAGTTCAGAGATGCAGATCAGGTGGCCGTGTCGCGCTAGGCTTGCAGTCGTTGTGACTCGGACCAGCCGCTCTAGTAGGTGAACTTCTGGTGAGGGCAAGGAGTGCCGGGGTCCGCGCGTCAACCGGCGCCTTCACGAGGAGCAAAGCGAACATAGGAGTTTCATAGACTCAAGCCAGGGGAAGGCTGGCAAACCCGAGGCTGCTAAAACGGAGCTCTGGGAAATTGTATTCTCTTGCGGGAAGCAGCCCGTTTAATGTTTAGCGCGCCGGGTTTTATTCTTGGAAATTGTTGTCTTGTTTCTGGGAAGACCGTTTTAGCAGCCACGGATTTGCCAGCCTTCGCCCAGCTTCCGATAGACGATAGGTAAAGTTCCAGCGAGCGCGAGTGTTTGTCTCTTCGTCGTCTGCGCAAGCTGCGCCATGCTGCTCGATTTGCTCCTCAGGCCATGGTGGGCAGCGCAACCCGTGCAGCATGCACCATGCGCATGCGCCAGCAAACGCGCTGGCATGGACAGCGGCTTCATGGTCTCCTTCAGTGAAGGATTATCCAATGTTGAGTCGGGCAGGTCCCCCCGCAGGAGAACTATTCAAAATTAGTCAAGAAATAGTCTGGGCACGATTTTTCTCTCCCTCTCTCTCTCTCTCTCTATGTGTGTGTGCGCTTTTGACAAGTTTCGAATCTGTTTCACTCGTTTGGATTTTTCGGCCCAAAATTCCCGTTTCAGATGACGTGCCCGACCTGAATCGAAGACGCCTACGGCGAATCACCGCCCCCCCTGCCTTTTTGGAAGCGCCTATGTGGCCGAACGTTGAGGCCAGACCTGCCAAGCGATCGGACCATGTGTTCCCCGAATCGGTTTGGAAAGCCTTCGGGGAACACGTGGGCATCTTGAAGGTCATCTTGGCCGTCTGGATGCCATTTTGATTCTTTCTGGCCTTCTTGGAGAACGTCTTGGAGGGCTCTTGGGCCGTCTTGGCGGCCATCTTAAGCGACTTGGAGACCTCTTGGGCCGTCTTGGGGGCCTCTTGGGGCCGTGTCTTGGGCCTCTTGGGCGATCTTTGGGGGCACTTGGGCCGTCTCGGGCCGTCGGAAGGCAGAAAGAAAGCAAATGCCACACTCCTTCAAAAACCATTGGGAAATCCATGATTTTGTCCTTTCCGGGCCTTCCTGGAGGCCTTCTTGGAAGCCTCTTGGGCCGTCTTGAGCCATCTTAGGGCCATGTTCGGCCGTCTTGGTGGGCTCCTGGTCCGTCTGACGCCGTCGGAAGCCGTTTGGGGGGCCTCTATGGGCCGACTTGGGGCCCTCTTGGAATGCTCCAGGGCCGTCTTGGAGGCCATCTTGGGCGTCTTAAAGGCCTCCTGTGCCGTCTTGGGGGGGGCCCTCTTGGGCCGTTCTGGGGCCATCTTGGAGGCTCTTGAGTGATCTTTCGGCGATCTTTGGGGGCTCTTGGGCCGTCTCGGGCCGTCGGAAGGCCGAAAAGAAGCAAATGTCAAAATCCTTCAATCCAAAACCAAAGACATATCAATTTTTTGGGCCTCTTCTGGCCTTCCTGACGGCCCTCTTGAGGGCCTCTTGGGCCGTCTTGGGCCAGCTTCGAGCCAACTTCGGCCATCTTGGTGGGTTCCTGGCACGTCTGGCGCCGTCGGGAGCCGTCTGAGGGGCCTTTCTGGGCCGACTTGGGGCCCTCTTGGGGCGCTTCGGGGCCGTCTTGGAGGCCATCTTGGACGTCTTGGAGGCCATCTTGGGCGTGTTGGAGGCCTCTTGGGCCGTCTTGGGGCCCTCTTGGGGCCGTCTTGGAGGCACCTGGGCCGTCATGGGGCCCTCTTGGGGGCCTCTTGGGCGATCTGGGGGGCCTTTTGGGCCATCTTGAGCCGTCGGAATGCCGAGCAGAAGCAAATGCCAAAATCCTTCAAACACCTAAGGCAAATCAATAATTCTGGCCTCTTCGGGCCCTCCTGGAGGACCTCTTGGAGGCCTCTTGGGTCGTCTTGGGCCGTCTTGGAGGCTTCTTGGGCGACCTTGGAGGTATCTTGGACTCTCTTGGGCCGTCTTGGAGGCCGTCTTGGACCATCTTGTGCGGACTTGGAGGCCATCTTGGACCATCTTGGAGGCCATCTTGGGCCAACGTGGCCATCTTGGAGGCCATCTTGAGCCATCTTGGAGGATTTTTTTTCCGCATTGAGCTCCTTGAGATCCTTTCCGGGTGGCCGGCGGGACGGGCCGAAGCCCCAGGGGGAGCTCTTTGGGAAAAGGAACCAGAAACAAAAACCATATAATTCGGCACGCCAGGCACCCCTTTGACTTGGCATCGCTCGGACGTGTGCATTTTTCCTTCGGCGAGGGCCATCGAGGAGTATCCTCGATCATTTGGCGAAGAAACCACGCACGAAGCCGAACAAAAACACGGGGAATGGACGTCCGAGCGATGGCGAGTTGATACACCAAACGGGGGCGGCGGATCGACTGGATTTCGGCCCATCCCGCCACCGCGCCTGGGACCCCTCTCATATCTTATAGTGGCCCCCTGGGGCCCCGAGCAGCTGCGCGGGGAGGCGCGGGGGCGCCCAGGGGACCCGCGAGAAGCCTCGCGTCGGGCACCTTCCCCTTGGCCGCAGGAGCATCCCAAAATAGTGAGAGGTCCTCCTCCTCCCCCCCCTCCTCCTCCTCCTCCTCCTCCTCCTCCTCCTCCTCCTCCTCCGCCTCCTCCTCCTCCTCCTCCTCGGGGGGGGCACCCAGCACGTCTTGGCATCGCTAGGACGTGTGCATTGTGCCTTCGGCGAGGACCATCGAGGAGCATCCTTGATCGTTTGGCGAAAAACACCACGCACGAACACGCGCGAAGCCCAACAAAAACACAGCAAATGGACGTGCACCTTGGGCAGGCAGCCTTGGGAAGCACAGGAAAAAAAACACCGCAAGCAGCCATCCGCGGGCGCAGGAGCGGTCGCGGCCTCCACCTGTTCGGACACGCCCGCGCCCTCACGGGCCTCCTCGGACATGCACGGGATCGCGAAGAGTTCTCATTGGCCAACAATTGTCGGGGGGGCCACCCGGCACGCGCGCTGGTCTTCGTGGGCCCTGGAAGCGTTAGGGCCGTTTTTGTCACCGGTGCCGTCTTGCCGTCTTTTTGTTGCCGGTTCCGACGCCGTTTTCTGTTTGCCGGTCCGTCGCCGTGTTTTGACCGGTTCTGGCTTTGGTTCCAATCCTGGAGCAGTTTTTGTTGCAGTTTCTGGTCGCCGTTTTTGTTGCCGTTTCGTTTTCAAGGGACATTTTTCAGGAAACGGTGAAAAAACGGCCCTGCCGTTTCCGGGGCCTGCAAAGGCGCTGGTGTTGTGGAGAGCAGGGGCACATGCTCGCATCGTCTGCCAACGCGCACTGCTGCACATACCTGGGCACATTCTGGACCATGGCGGCGCACATGACCATGTCTGGCTCCGTGCGTAGTCGGATGGATCCGGTCGCGAAGTAGGATGGCTAGCACTCATGATGGGGCAGACGCTGAGGCACAGGACGGTACAGCTGGCACACGTGTCCTCGCCACTGATGGCAACTTTTTGCAATCGAGAGGTCAGTGTTTGAGTTTGACGTTTGCATTTGCGTCTGTATATCTCCTCCTTCAGGCGCTCTGATATCACCATCCACCAAACCACCCCAACCCAACCTGAAGGCTCAAATTTACCCTCGATTTCCAGTGGGGGGGGGGGTCGGGAAACATCGAAGAACACACATATGGAACCCTTGCCCCCCCCCAACCCGAAATTCGAGTCTTCGGGCTGGGTTGGGGTGGTCTGGTAGGTAGTCAGTATATGCGCCTTCCGACATGCGCAGACACATGAATGTTGCTGTGGCGAGCACGAACCATTTGCGCGCATGTTGCGGCACCTTCGCTGGGGGGGGCAAGCCAGTCCACGTCGGGAGCGCGCACCCGTTCGTGCCACCGCGCATGCACGTGCCTGCCAGGACCAACCGCCCATTGTGGGCCCCGGAAACGGCAGGGCCGTTTTTTCACCGCTTCCCAAAACACGTCCCTTGAAAATGGAAACGGCAACAAAAACGGCGACCGGAAACGGCAACAAAAACGGCTCCAGGATTAGACCCGGAGCCGGAACCGGTCAGAAAACGGCGACGGAACCGGTAAAAAACGGCGTCGGAAGCGACAAAGAAAACGGCAAAACGGAACCGGTCAGAAAACGGCCCTGTCGTTTCCAGGGCCCACTAATCGGCAACGCGCAGAGGGGGGTAGGGGGATGGGGGAAGGCTTCTTAGAAGCACCCCTGCTTCTTAGAAGGCGCGGGCCTTCTCTGTAGACGTCAGGCCGAGGCCTTCTAAGAAGCAGGGTGCTTCTAGGAAGCCTTCCCCCCCTCCCCCTGCCCCCCTCTTGCGCGCCGCCAAACTAAGCCACCGCCCCACGTGCTGCCCGCACGACAGCAGCTGGCCCTTGCGTGCCAGCCCGGTGGATCTCGGGCGCGTGTGCTCGCAGGCCGCCCGCACAGGCACGGATTGGCCAGGCGAGCGTCTGCCGCCAGTCCGTGCACTCGTGCGCCGGACGCGGGGGCAAGCGGGGGCCTTCACGCACAGTGTCACCACCCACTCTGGACGCACGAAATGGGTACTCAAAGAATGGGTACAATGCCCAACAGCGGATCTTGTTCATTTTGAACAGGGCTCGCTGTCCACGCCGCCGCGGCCTGTGTCCATTCGAGGCAGGAGGCCGCCTGCCCAACAGCGGCCGCTGTTGGCTTGGGACAACATGTGTTGTTGGGCATAGTGCCCATTCTTTCCGTGCCCATCTCGGGTGTCCAAACCCACCAAAACCACCCCAACCCAACCCGAAGGCTCAGATTGAACCTCGATTTCCAGTGGGGGGGGGTCGGGAAGCATCGAAAAAGCACATATGGAGCCCTTACCCCCCCCAACCCGAAACTCGGGTCTTCGGGTTGGGTTGGGGTGGTCTGGTAGCTAGTCACAGTGGAGACCGATGCCCAGAGACACGTTGCTTGCCTCCAGGGCGCCCTGGGCTTGTTGGGTCTTGATGGTTTTGCTACGGAGAGCGCGGCGCTCCAGCACCAAAACTCAACAGACGTCCTGGGGTCTCAGGGTTGGGTTTCTTGTTGAAGGTCTCTTGTGGACTGGCTTCCATTGTATCGCCGGTGTGCCAGGAAGCTGGATACACACGACGTGGCAGGCCTGGCCAGACCTCTTTCCAGCGCTCGGACACTGTGTGGGCCAGGCATGCTGGGCTCGCACTGCATCCAGCGCGTCGCCGTCGGAGGCGCCGCGTGGCATGCGAATCCAACCATGTCTGTTTCCATGTTCTTCCCGCTGCCTCGGCTGGCCGCACTGGCCTGCTCTATATGCGGAACTCTTCCACGCCTGGGCGTTTTCCCCTCCCCCTCTCCCCGCGCGGCCGCCCTCGTCTTTTTCCTCCCTGCAGCACGCCGGACAATTCGCCTTCCGGTTGCCCCCAATTGCCACGCGCTGGAGCGGACCGCTTCTGCCTCGCCGCCGACGAAACAAGTTTCCATATTCTTGGCCACCATTGATTCGTAAACGCCTTTGCGGGCATGTGGGCGCATGTGCTCGCAGTTGCAGATGAAAGCGATCACTGGCACAACGAAGAGAGACAGCATCGCATGCGGAATACATGGAGACCTTACTGCACCGACATGGCTCATGCCACAGGCCCACTCACACAGTATCCAATTCCATGGGGGCATTTGGTTGAAGCATACCTTGCTTCGCTGCTAAGGACAGGGCCCATCATGCTACAAACGTGTGTGCCGCAATGTCAACGTGGCATCGCATCTTGTTGGTGTCGCTTGCGAGGTGAAGGATGATGTGTCGCAGAAGGATCAAGATTCTTCGGATGAAGATGCTGGCGACGCTTCAAAGAGTGGTTCGGCTGCTCGGAGCGCTTCAAAAAGTGGATCGGGTGTTCGAAGTCCAAGTGCTGGATCAGATGCCAGCGGAGCTGACAGAGACGAGGTTTTCTGGTGGGCTGCCGTGAAAATGACAGAGCATGTAGACTGCATCAGGAAGATACGAGAGCAACATGCGCAGTTGATTTGTTTAATTGCTCCGTCGCGTGGGTCACACTTGAACACGGCTTGCTGCGTTTTGCATTGTGCGATGCTTGGCACGGTCGAAAGAAACTACCATGCATATTCAAAATCTATCGAAGCATCCGCATGAGTGGGTGGGCAGGTTCGCAGTGCTCGAGACAGCGACGACGACTGAGGGACATCTTTGCCCTTGATGCTTGCACGCGCCCAGTTCCCTTCGTCAACAGCTCGCTTCATAGTGTGTCATATTGACCGCCTTCTGTTGCTTCTTGCCATGAGCATGGCGCATCATAGCAGGTAGGGTAATCAGCAAATCCGCGCCTTCCGTGCGACAGTGATTATTTTGCCTCCAGATGTGTTCATCTTTCCCCGTGAAGTGTGTTCATGTCCACACGTTATTCCATGGCAGGCCGACTCCAATGTGGAACTGCCACGCCCCCCCATCGGCGCCGGGTCCCCCCTGGCGGCGCCTCCGGCACCGCTCTGGCGCTCCGCGCGTCAGGGAGTGGGCCAACGCTAGCTCGAGATATCCGCACGGCGCTCGGGAGGTTTATGTTCATCAATGTAGTTCTCTTCTGTGAAAACCGATTAAAACCGATTCATTCCTCGAAGCTGGCGCGGTCTGACCAGGATTTCGAAACGAGTCTGGCCGCGGCAAGAAGTGGCCCTCGAGGAGGCCCAGACACGAAACGGATGGACGGTGCGCGTGTTTTTTCCAGAACGTACATGATCTGAGTGGCCGGTTCTGTCCCGCGCGCTTGCCCGGCGTATTTGTTCGTTGCCGTGGTATCTGAGTCTTGGTGATTCCGCTATGCTCAAGAGTGCATGTGTGCGTGTATGCGTGCGTGTGCGTGTGTGTGTGTGTGTCTGTGTGTGTGTGCGTGTTCATGTGTGTGCGTGTGCGTGTTTGCGTGTGTGTGTGTGTGTGTGCGCGTGTTCGTGTGTGTGTGTGTGTGTGTTTGTGTGCGTGCGCGTGTTCGTGTGTGTGTGTGTGCGTGTGTGTGTGTGTGCGTGCGCGTGTTCGTGTGTATGTGTTTGAGTGTGTGTATGCCCCTGTTCTCCGTCTCACGAAGTTGCCTCTCGCAGTTCTCTGATGCAGATCGCAGTGGACGAGAAGGTGGCCGAATGCGGTGTAAGAGAGCCTGAGACCGTGTAAGCGATTCTGGTTGGCTTCTGGTTGTTTCTGATTGGATGTACGGCTTAAGCCCGTGCACCTTACACGGCTTGGGCCAGTTTAGCGCCGCCTTTCCAGCTAGAAGCAAGCAGAAGCAACAAGAAACGTTTACACGATGTTGGTTTGACTACGCTTGGATTGTGATTAGTTCTGTTTGTAAATGCGGCCTTAGCCCGCGAAATTTGGTTGGCCGGTTATTTGCAACCAGAAGCAACCAAGCGCCAACCAGAATTTGTTACACGTTGTTAGTTTGTCTAAGGTCGACGTGTGATTGGTTCTGTTTGAAAATGTGCCCCCAAATCGTGGAATTTGGTTGGCTGGTTCTTTCTACCAGAAGTAACCAACATAATACCATAATCCTTGAAACTTGGCTTGTTTGCTGGTTGGTTGGCTAGCTGATTGGCTAGCTGACTGGTTGGCTGGCTGATTGGTTGGTTTGCCGGTTCTGGTTCGGACAGCGCGCGCCCCATCGCGGGCGAAATCTTGAGTGATTTGACTGAACCGCACCAGATGCTTCAAAGTATTGTTTCGTGCGACATTACTGAAACGCGCCGGAGGCTTCAAGATGTCCTTGGTGATTTACAGCATTGGAGGTGAGTTCGCTTGCGCTCGCCGTTTGCTGACTGGTTGGCCGGCTCGCTGCTGGTTGGCTGGATGGTTGGCTGACTGGTTGGCTGGTTCCGTGGCTGCAAAACTAGCCCGCTTCGTTTTTCGGTTTCCCGCGTCCTTAGCTGGTTGGTTGGTTGGTTGGTTTGTTGGGTGGGTGGTTGGTTGGTCGGTTGGTTGGTCGGTCGGTTGGCTGGTTGTTTGGCAGGCTTGCTGTATTGCTGGCTGGCTGCTTGGCTGCTAGTGGGCTGGCTAGCGGGGTGGCTGGTTGGTTGATGGCTGGCTGCTTTGCTGCTGGTGGGCTAGCTGGCTGGTTGGCTTGCTGGCTGATTTGCTGGCTTGCTGGCTGGCTAGCTGGTTGGCTTGCTGGCTGACTTGCTGGCTTGTTGGCTGGCTGGCTGGTTGGCTGATTGGATGGCTAGCTGGTTGGGCTTGCTGGCTGACTGGCTGGCTGATTGGCTGGCTGGCTGGCTGGTTGGCTTCTTTCTTGGTGGGCTGGCCGGTTATGGTCCGGACAGCGCGTGCTCCGTCGCGGGCAAAGTTTTGTTACGACTTGATTGAACCGCGCCCGATGCGTCAAACTAGTTCGATTTGTGAAATTATTGAAACGCCCTTGAGGCTACACCATGTTCTTGGTGGTCTGAAGCATGGGAAGTGGGTTTGCTTGCGCGCGCCTTTTGCTGGCTGGTTGGCCGTCTCGCTGCTGGTTGGTTGCTTGGTTGGCTTTCCGGTTGGCTGATTGGTTGGTTCTCAGGCTGCAGGACTAATTCACTTTGTTGTTCCGTTTCGCGCGTCCTTTGTTGGATGGTTAGTTCGCGAATTGGTTGGCAGGTTTGCTGGATGTCTGGCTGGCTGATTGGCTGGCTGATTGGTTAGCTGGTTTGTTGGCTAGCTTGTTAGCTGGCTAGCTGGTTGGCTGGTTGGTTGACTGGCTGGCTGGTTGGCTGGCTAGCTGGTTGGCTGGCTGGCTGGCTGGTTGGCTGGTTGGCTGACTGGCTGGCTATTGGGCTGGCTAGCTGGTTTGCTGGCTATTGGGCTGGCTAGCTGGCCGGTTGCCGGGGCAAAACTTGCCGAGCGGTTTGAGAACCATCCCGCAGGGCACCCCGCTGGAGATCGTTTCCGATTCCACGTGCGTTTGGGGGATCTTGGAAAACAAGCTGGTTGGCTAGTTAGCTGGTTGGCTGGCTGGCTGGCTGGTTGGCTGGTTGGCTGACTGGCTGGCTATTGGGCTGGCTAGCTGGTTTGCTGATTGGCTGGCTAGCTGGTTGGCTGACTGTCTGGCTCACTGACTGGCTAGATGGTTGGCTTGCTTGCTGACTGGCTGGCTGATTTGCTGGTTGGCTGGTTGGTTGGCTGGTTGGCTTCTTTCTTGGTGGGCTGGCCGGTCCTTCTGAAAGCGCGCGCCCCATCGCGGTCAACATGTTGTTACGACTGGAATGAACCGCGCCCGAGGCTAAAACATGTTCTTGATGATTTCTGGCTGATTGGCTGGATGATTGGCTTGCTGGTTGGTTGGTTGGCTGACTGGCTGGCTAACTGGCTGGCTGATTGGCTGGTTGGTTGGTTGGTTGGCTGGTTGGCTTGCTGGTTGGCTTGAGCCTGTTTCTTCATTGCTGGGGCCATACGCTCGTTATGGCCATACGCATCGTCGTCGTCGTCGTAGTCGTCATCGTCGCTCGTCGTCGTCGCTCGTCGTCGTCGCCGTCGCCGTCGTCGTCGTCGTTGTCGCCAGCCATTTTGGCTCAAGGCTCTCTCAGGGGGCCCTGCCGCGCGTCCTTTCTTTTCGCACTGCCGCGCACTTCGTCACGCTCGACCTCCCTTCAGGTCTCTGATCGCATGTTTTTTGGAGCGCGCCCAGCATCCTCGGCTGCCCATGTCGCCGCTGCGCCCGCCTCCCCCGCACCTGGATATTTCGAAGGAGCTGCCGTCTCCACCGAGGCCCCTCGCGGTGTTGCCTGGCCCGACGGGAAGTAGGCGCGGGTTAGCGAGGTCAGCCCGATGGTTGTTGATGATGGTGCCGGCACTGATCTGGAGCCTCTGGAGCCCGTCCAACCTGGAGTTGTTGCCGCCGCGATGCAAGCCCCAGCCGCGCTGCGAGAAGGCCTGGGGCCAGGGGAAGCCCGCTTCTTCCGTGCCCTCATTGCCGAACTCAGCTCGATTATGGCCACCTCGCTGGCTCCTCTTAAGGCCCAAGTAAACAACTGTATCATGAAGGTGAACAAGAATGAAAAACAAATTGGGTGAGTTCCGCATGGAGTTTACCGCTCTTCAGGGTCGTACTGGGGTTCTCTAGAACGGAGGTGGAGGAGGAGGAGGTACTGGCTCTGCTGGAGGTGCTGCCCCTTGTGTTCCTGACAGCCGTGCTGGTTCTGACAAGTCGGCGGCCGCTCCCCCCACGTTTCGACTGCCCGTGAACAGGCGCCAGACCCAGTGCATCCGCGGCTTTGAGTACATTGAGGGCGTTGAGATTTCCAGTTATATGAAAGCCATTCTGCACGACGCCCACATCTTAGCAGTTAAGAAGGTGTTTGCAGCCGGATATTCCCCGAACCGCGTCAAAGTTGAATTCGAGAATACTCAGAGGATGTGGGGGTTGCCTGGTCAAAATGAAGGGAAGGAGTTCTCGCCTCGCCTTGCCAAAAGCAAAAGGCCGCCTTGCACTCTTCATCAGGACCGCCGCTTGTTATGGCACACGATTGACAAGTATCCGGGGGAGCTGCAGTGCCAGAACAGAACTTGCCAAGAATATCGTGCGACAGGCCATCAGCCAGACGTGGCCCCAGGTCACAGACACTGACACCGTGGCCATGGTCGACGCCACGAAGGACATGGGTTCGGTTGTCCTCTTGCGCAAGATGTTGGCTGCGGAGGTGATGCCCCGGAACCCACTGAAGCTCTACATGCGCAGTCTCCCCACTCTTACTCAAAGTGGCACCAGGCACCCAGGAGTTCATCACCCACTACGGCCTCGACCTGGACCTTCAGCAGCAGCTCGAGAGCATCAACGATCCCCCTCGGCGGGGGGAGTATCCAGCGTGCCTCGTGGACTTCCATCCAGCGACGACACTGTGATCATGTCGCGGAGCTGTCAGGAAGTTCCACTGCGAAGTGCCGCGCGGGGGTTGGCTTCTATGGAAGAGGAGTATCACGAGGAAGTCATTTGCATCCATGTATTCACAGACGTCGTCGGTTTTGGCATGGAAGAGATCTCGGGCCATCCTGCGCCCCCAGGGCCCTCCATGCGTGGGCGGAAAGGAGACCGGCGATCACAGTGCAAAAGTCGCTCATGGCCTGCATCTCGACCGACCCCGTGCGACAGGGGAATTGTCTGGCCCTTTGCTTCCTCACACCTCGCGGAGGACACGCGTGGATAGTTTGTGCTCGTTTCGAGGCGAAAACGAATCACCGTGAAGTCTATTATTAGGACTATGAGGACTGCGAGGCCCTCCTGACGACGCGGCCGTCCACCCACACACCGCTGTTGCGCGTGGGCGCCAATGCCTCCCCCGACGCGGATCGGCCACCTTCGACAGCGATGGGACCTTTCACGGCCGGCGTCACTTCATGGAAGTCGGAC